AGCGTTGGCGCTCCCCATGGCACGGCTCCGGCTGTCGCTCTGGTTTCTGCCCGGCAGCTGTACGTTTCCCTCACCTCCTGTGATGCTCTTGCTCTGTAGGCCTCATGCCGAGGACTTCAGCGTGGATTCCTCCTTCTCGCAGTAAGTGCACCGCATGCATTTCCCTGCGCCGGTGCTGCGGGGCTGCCCGGCAGCTGTACGTTTCCCTCACCTCCTGTGATGCTCTTGCTCTGTAGGCCTCATGCCGAGGACTTCAGCGTGGATTCCTCCTCCTCCTTCTAAGTGCACCGCATGCATTTCCCTGCGCCGGTGCTGCGGGGGCGGGGGGGCGAGGGCTGCCGTGGCACCGCCGGCCCCGTGGACCGTCACTCTTCCACCGGGCAAAAGCCAACCGCGTTCTCCAGAGAGCAAAAACCCCTTGCAATTGGGGGTGTTTGCGCGGTGCATGTGTGCATGCTGTCTCGTGAGCCAAGTATTTTGGGCAGTACCTGCTGCCAAGAGCAGTGGTCAGCCTTGTCTTTAAATTAGTGATAGATTATTCTGCTTTTAAGGGAGCTGATAAGCACGCGGTTGGTCCGTTACTGCTCTGGGCACCAAGGAATTGCGTATGGCACCAGCAAACCCTTCCGAAAGAGCAATGGTTCCCACCGGGGGAGGACTAGCTGTGCTCAGAGGCAGACAGGTTTCTTGGGGAAGAAGTGATATCCTTGGCAGCAAATTGGTGATTACCCATTAGCAATGAGCTCCATGCGCAGACTCCAATTAAACAATCCAGATTCATCAGCATAAGCAATTATAGGAGCAGACTCATGGGTGTCAATCTCCAATGTTGCAAAACAAATTAGCCAAACAAAACACAGTGTGTTATTCCGTTGCTTCTTCTCTTTCTGGGTTTTAATCTTTCTTATTATTATTGTTTTATTAAGAGCAAGTGGTGCCGCTGCCCGGCCGCGAGCAGCGTGGGGCCAGGGCTGGGGCTGCTCTGTGCATCCGCGAGGCTGCTGAGACCTTGGATGGGAGACGCAGCGGGAAGATGACTCGGGGAATGAGCGTGTCCTCGCCCAGGGCCCACAGCTGGGGACGCGTGTCCTCGGACAGTGCCGAGCGAGAGCCCTCCGCGAGGAGACGCCTGGATCAGGCCCCCGCATAGCACATCACTGCTGGCAGGGGCTCCCCGTCCTGCCTGGCTCGGCACCCAGCATCGGGAGCAGGCTGTGGGCCAGGGCCCGCTCCCCCGCTTGCTGCAGGCGTGTCATTGGGATTGCACATGGGCACGGCACGGAGCCCCTTGGTGCTCCCCCGGCTCTTCTCGGCCGTGCTCGCCTTGTGCCACCTTCCCGCGGCGCACACATGTGCCGTTACCCAGAGCAGTGCTGTCCCCCGGGGACAGCCCCGAGCCGGGGCTCCCAGCCTGGGGAGGCACCGGAGCAGCTCTGGGATGAAGCAGCGTGTCCCGCTTCACCCCGGAGCTGAACTCGCATTTTTGGAAGCGCGGGGTGCTGCCGGGTCGGTGCTGTGCTGCCGGCCCCGCCGTGCATCACCGCCCCTTGCTCGTTGGTACTGAGGGAGTGGAGAGATCATCAACTCCAACCCCTGAGTGCATCCCCGCTGCCTCCAGCGCTTTGTTTGGTGCTTGAAAATAAGCTCCGCAACTGCTAAATACAGTTGGAGAGTGATTGTAGCTGCCTTCGGGGAACGAGGAATTGATAAAAATCCCCTTTTCACTGCAATGTCCTCCCTAATAAAAAAAAACAGGAAAAAGAAGTCCAGCAGCAGATTTCTTTTTTATCACTACAGATTCGTGAAGCCTTTCCATCAGCGTGTGTCAGGGCTAGCCAACCCCCGGCTCGGCAGAGCCGTCGCGCCCTCGATGCGGTGCCTCCTGCCCTGCCTTTGTCCTACCAATCCAGCAGTGCTTGTGCGGATGCGTTCAGGGCATCGTTCATCTCATGGTGCAAGATGAGTGGCCGTGAGGACTGTCCTTTGAAGCCAACCTTGGTCTTGGGCAGAGTTTTTCCAGAAACAGCTGCTTGGAGCCTGCTTTTCATCCCCCAAGAATAAAATTGCAGCGTTACTGCTGGAGCCAGGATGATATTACCTGCATCCAGCTGTGTTTAATTTGCTGCAGAGTGGTTGGCGATATCGCTCCTTTCTTTGGGCAAAAATTACACGCCATAACATAACAGGAGATGCTTTTTTTCTGATTTATTCTCATGGTAAATGCATGAAATCTTGAGGAAACAAGGTTTTTAGCCGGTCCTGGGGCAATGTGTGCCACAGCAACCTGGTTCCCAGTGCAGCGTGTCTATCGGTGTGGGACTCAATTTTGCTGATCATCGTTCGTGATGTGCCTCAGCATGTTCCCTGCCCGGAGCCCGAGCAGCTCAGCAAACTCATTCCTGGCGCTGTGTGCCTCATGGCTCAGAGTGCTCCATCAGCCTGGCGGGGCCACGGGGGCAGCCTGGCCGAGAGGCCGGAGCCGGCGGGAGCAGCTGCCTTCCCGCAGGGCTGCGACGGTGCCATGGGCCATAGTGGCTGCGATGGGGCCACGGTGGCTACAATGGTGCCCGCGAGAGGCTGATGTGGGACCCTCTGAGCGCCTCGGGGCTGGCCGGTGCCATGATCCATGGGGATCAGCTGGGACTCTGCAGAACAAGGGGAAAGTGGCTTCAGTATTGTGCCTACTAAGGGATGGGGGACAAGACTGATTTGTAGAAAATGGGCAGATTTCCCCTGTTTGCAATACTTGGCCTTTTGGACCATGCAGACTCTCCCACTGGTCTCCCAAGTGTTCTCACGTACCTCCCAGGCACTGAAACCTGCCCTCCTGGTCCCAGCCCTTTGTGCTGAGACAGGTCTCCTCTCTCCCCTTCCCTCCACGGGTCGGCAGCGTTGGCCGGGGGGGGGCTTTGCCCCCAAAAGCGGGGAGAGGCAAGCGATGCCCTGGCTCCCAGTCCCTGTCTGGTTGCTTTGTGCTTTCTTGTTTAAAAACGTGCCAGAGATTTATTGGAGAAGCTGCTGCAGCGAGGGATGTTCGGGGGTGTTTGATAAACCCCTGGAGAAGCTGAGATATTCATGGAGGAAAGCTCCCAGCCGCGGCGCTGGTGAGCCTGCTGGCAGTGCTACATGGCTCGGTGGGAGAGCGGCTGGGTGTCCAGCCGTGTTTGGCTTGCAGCATGGCATCAATCCTGCCCGGCTTCTCCACAGGTGGGGTGAGCCCGTGCATCTCCCTGGCCAATGAGGGACACAGCGCAGCACGCTGCCGCTGCCCTGCCAGCACCACAGCCCGGGCCACCGCAAGCTGCCAGCCGAGCCTGGGGCTTGCAGAAGATGCAGTGAAGCAAAACCAGGCGGCAGATTTTGCAGAGCCCCTGTTGCGGGCTGGTCCCCGCACGGCTGCCCAGTGCACAGGGGGGATGCAGGGGAGAGCGGGGCTGCGGCAGGAGATGCCCCTCCCCGGAGCCGTGCAGCCCCGTGCGGTTTTGAAGCCGTTTTCTTGCACGCTCGCTGGCACTGAGCCGGTACAGCCTTGCTGAAACCCACAACCTTCCTCCTTTGAGTAATTGTTCAATTACTGCTTATTGAGCGTGGGGGCAGCCTGTTCCCCGTTTCTCACTTTGGCAGGCGCCCAGGTTTTCTATACGCACACAGCCGCACAGCTATTCCCCCTTTCCATCTCCAAGCCGTACGCTGGGAGCAGCTCGTCGCGCCGGCAGGCTGGGAGCTCTGGTGGGAAGGGCCGTAGCTGCCCCCCATCCTCCGCTCACTTGGGGATAGATGGAGGATGGCAGATGAATATACCACAGAGGTGGTGTTCAGTACGCAAAGCTCACTCGACGTCATCCGTCTCGCTGTAGCTTTTGTACCCAAATGCCTGTTACCGTCAAGAAAACGGCGGAAAAAAGGAAAGAGCATCTCTGAAGGAAATCAGGAGGGCTGGCAGCTGCTGGAGGTGTGTCTGTCTGGGTAGTTCGTGTGGTTGCCATCAGCAGGTATCTCAGCCTCAAGCTGGCTGGCTCGGTGGTTTATTCGGGAAGGGCTTTGGCCTCTGCTCAGCTTTCCCTGTCGCGGTGCCTCGTGGCGATGCCCCGTGCCCAGGCTGGCTGCGGGGCAGAGGGGCTGGGTCCCCCCCGGGGGGGGGGGGGCCGGGCCGTCCTGGCCTGCCACGGGCCTCTGCTGGCACCAGCCGCCCTCTGTGCCGGGCCGGTGGCTGAGCGAAGGACCGGAGGCAGCCCGGCTGCGGTGCGGTGCCTTTGCTGAGCAGCACGCTGCCTTTCGCGCAATATCCTCTGCTGTTCCTTGCACTGCGTGATGCTGAGAGCAGAAATGTTGCAGGTCTGCACTTCCAGTGCTGCTCCGCACCTTCCTCTGCCCGGGGCTGCACCTGGTACCCACAGCCCATCCCCAGTGCGCGCCCCGGGCCATCAGCACGTTTCTTTAATTTCAGCTTTTGTATGCCACAGACACATTTCTTACGTGTTTGACCCATGTGGTTTTGCAGGGAGGATGCAGAGCCGTCCTCCGGGCTCAGCCAGAGTCGGGGGATGAAGTGGGGTCTCATCTGAGACTACACTGTCTTGGCAGAGGTGGGTGTTGGCAGCCACCAGATTGCAGAGATTTGGGGTTTGTTTTGGTTTTTTTCCCCAAAATCTCCGAAGGGTCTCGTTTGCATTCCGCTACACGGTGGGAGAAGTTTCTTGAGAATCTTCCTGGAGCAAGAACGGCATTTCCCGCCCAGCCGGAGTGTGAGAGCAAGGATTGGAGCTATGGAGAGATGCTGAGATTTTTTTCTTGTCTTTCAAGGGCCATATTTATTTGAAGATAGGCTTCTCATGGCAAGAAGTCTCTATTATGAAATAGAACAAAAGTGCCCTGGGCACCTAAGCCCTTCTTTAGAAAGCAGCAGGGAGGCTTTGGGCAGCGTCCCGGCGCAGGGGGTGGCAGCTCGCTCCCTGGGCTGGCCAGTGGATTTTGGAGCCGTCTCAGTTTTCAGGCCATGCCCGGCGGCTGTCACATGCTGTGGGGACCGGAGGGGAGCTGCCCGTGCCCGACTGCCCATGTAAGTCTCCTGGGGACGCAGAGCTCGGGGGTACGTCTCCGTCCCCACGTCCCTGCCTGCGCTGCCTGTGCGGATTTGCCCCGGCATGTGGGTTGCTGTTTTTCGTGGTTTACTTGCCTTTAAGGGGAGCGTGTTTATCCCCAGCTCTCTGGGGAAGGTACAAGTATGGAGCGGGGGCTGTGCTCCTCGGTGTCTATTTTAATGCCGGTGAGCCGGGCTGTGCTCATCCTGGTCTTGCACCCTGCACTTTTCTGAACAAACTGTTGTGTCTTTTTTGGGAGCTCATCACCTTAGAACAAATTGCCTCTAATCTTAGATTAATAAAGTACAATAAATAACCGAGCGAAGAAAATGAAATTGTTCAGACATTATCAAGTGCGTAAGAGCGGTAATTACACTTCCAAGCAGAGAGCTTGTAACTAAACTTGTACTGTGATGATTATCTGCGCGGCCTGGGGAGGTTCAGCTGGGGCAAGGCTGGGGGGATGGCATGCTGCCTGCTCCTTCCCCGCAGGGCACGCCGCTGCCTGCGCCCCTCAGTGCTGCCCGGGCTGGGCTGGCACCACGCTGCCCGGCCAGCGGGAGGGAGGCCCGGCTGCGGTGGCAGGGATGGGGGCAGTTTAAATGGACCGGCTCGGCTGAGATGCTGTGAAATCGGAGCCCGTCGGGGTTTGTGATTCGGGGCGGTAATGCAGTCGGAGTTTAGCTTGATTTTTATTTGAAGTTAACTTCTTGACAACAAAATTAACGGGTACGTTTTAGATTATAAAATCTCCTTCCCTCAGCTGGAAATGGAGTAGGAGCTTTGACACTTTTGGATGATTGCCGCTGCCTGGTAAAAGCCATCACTCGTTCAGCCGTGGGTCGGCTCTGGGGTGTTGGGTTAATCTGGCGCCTGCAGAGCGGGTCCCAGCGCTGGAGCAGGCGGTCGGACCGGGGCGGTGTCCTGGTCCCCGTCATGCCGAGCCCTTGCTCTGCCCTCCCTCCTCCTCCAGACAGAAGCCCCGTGGGACGGTCACCCTGCGGGGGCCGCCGGGGCTCGGCGGGGCCGTGGCTGCAGGGTCCCATACAGCTCCAGGGGCTCAGCCCAGAAAGCAGCGAGGGCAGGTTGTCCGCACAGGGTCATGTTGTTTCTACATGCATTTATTTCTTCACCTCTTTGCAGTGATAAATACCCTCTTTCCCCCCCAGGACCTGCTTCAGTTCCTTTCCAAGTGTTTCTTCTTCCTGCAGCCGTTATGACGGATGAATACATGGGCTACTTTGTCATAAAAAGTTTGATCTCTTTTAATGATTCAGTTCTCTTATCCATCAGCATTTATATTCATAGTCTCGAGGTGGGCTGCGACGCTATAGATCAGTGAACCATCTGTCTGGCGACAGAGATTTATATTGCGGTTTGTTTCTTCAGTACGGAGGCGAATGTCTAGGAGAGGAATCGTGCTCCCTGAAGTCTCCCTCTCCTCGATGTGCTTAATCCTCAGGGACACTGATGAATAGTGTGCCCAGCGCTCATGACGGAGCTGAAGGCCAGTTCCTAGCATTTTCTGGGCCTTTTTAATAAGGAGGAGGAGCAATTAGCTTGTGTGTGCAGTGTCGTGAGCAGTTGTGGCAGCTGATTTATGCCCTGACACAGATAAATTATTTGCGAAGCCTGGCTTTGGGAATGATTAATTTTAACACACGTTAAGGCTGTGCTTACGAAGCTCTGCATTTATGGCTGCTTGCTCCTAAGGCATCGTGCTGGCTGAGCCAGCGCTCGTAAATTCTCCTGCTAGCTCCCCAGCGCTCGCGGTCCCCACGGCAGGGTCCATGGCCGCCCACCCGCCTCCCCGCTCCCTTCTCCTGCCAGCGAGCGCGGCTGGTGAACACGCACCAGCTTCGGTGCAAAGGCCCCCCCGGCCGCCCTCCCTGCCCCTTAGGCTGGCCGATCCCCACGAGCATTGGGGCCCCAGGGGAGATGCAGGCTCAGCTCCCGTCCCTGCTGCTGCCGGCTGGGGACGTTTGGGGTGAAGTATGTTCTTGGCGTAAACCCCACTGCTGCCGCCTCAGGTGCATTTGTGTTTTAGCATTTTCCTCACTTGATGCTGTGAAATGTCCTGGTGAGGAGCGCCGCGCTCACATCACTGCCGATGGGTTTGCTGAGTGCTGCCAGCCGTGCCTGGGCATCCTTCCCCTTGGCATTGGAACCAGCACAAATGCCGAATGTCTTAACAGAGATTGGTGACTGCCCCATCGAGGCTGTGGGTTATTGTCACCTCTGTTACGGAGCTGCTCGGTGCGTGACGTCCCGCCGAGGGACCCAGGCAGGGCGCGGGGTCTGCATGGGACGTGCCTGCAGGTGGGCGACAGGAGCTCAGCATTTGCTTCCAGGTTAAGGCTCCTGATTTCTTTCCTCTTAGGCTACGTTGGTGGGGACAAGATGAGCCCCCAGCGTGGAGCCCCTCGGCTCTGCCTGCAGCAGCTCCGGAGCTGGAGGGGCTCAGACGGGTGCGTCTCACCCACCTCCTGGGTGCTGCCTCTGGTCCAGGCTGTGCTGCTCCAGCAGCGTTAGGGAGATGCTGAAGGATGGGCTCTTACAGCGGATCGGCCACCCCGAGCCCGTCAGCGGGTCCCTGCCAGCCACCCGGCCAGGCAGCTGCCGGTGGGTTCCCGCTGTGTCACTCCAAGGGAGGTTAAGCCAGAGAGCAGTTACCGGCTTATGGCAGAAGCGTGTAAAGTTTGATAGCCTGTATAAAATTTTATCCCAGGTATCGTGCCTGAGGTGATGGGTTTCTCTCCATGCATTTGCTTTTTGTACGTAAGAGCCTTGTAAATTAAAAATCTGACTTTTCAACCTGATAAGGGAGTCCATGAGGAGCCCCGAGGAGCTCTCACGGGTATGCCACGCTTCTTACATGCCGGGCAGTTTCCCCACGAGTGGTCAGGCTGGCTGTGAAATGCCGGCGGGCACCGGTGGGTACCAGGAAGAGGGACTCCCGAGCAATGAGGGTCTCATAAAACCCCTTCCCAATTTGCTGCCCGATCGGCTTGGCATTAACGCTCAGTAAATATTTGTTTATCCCTCTGTTGTCAGAGCAAGTAGCAGCTGCTTTCCAATAAATCACGATTCGGTGGTGTGTGCCAGGCAGCACGCTCGGCTGGAGCCGGCACCACGTGTACACAGGGGTTGCAGAGGCGAAATAAAATGGGGTGGTAGGTTTAATGACTGTCACTGTGAATTTGCTCACCTTGGCTTGGTAGTATGCCTGATTAATGCGATTTTGATGACCTTCTTCCAAGTTAAAAAATAGTAATAATAGTAGCACTCACTTAAGAGACTTGTTGAATACAGTGAAATAGGGGAAACGGCTAATTCGTTGCACTTAACTCCATTATCAGCTGTTATAGTAATGAACAGACTTTGTCTTGCTCGGTGTCTAAAGCCGAGGCATCAGGAAACAATCCCTTTTAGCTTGCACTTAGCAGGCAGGAGTGTAATTTATAACCCTGCCTGGTGTGAACAAGTGAGTTTGCAAAGGGCTGCGGGCATTTATAAAGTAATAGGAGAGGCGGGTGGCAGATGAGCTGAGCAGGGACCAGTTTTGCCTGCACACCCTTAATCCGGGTGTGCTTGATCCCAGACGCCGCTGACATCCGTGGGGAGGAACCTCCAGCCTTGGTGAGGCTTTCCCCCATCCGCGCGGTCATGGGCATCCAGCCGGCACGTGGGGACCGGCAGGAGGGCTACGGATGGGGGTCAGTGATGGAGACTGGAGCAGCTGAAGATGAAGAAGTGCCCGTGGTGGTCACAGCGGTGGATGGGGCTTTTGCAGTTTCACCCGCAGCTTCTCCTGGCCGGTTTCTGCAAAGTGCCCCGGCGGGCAGCTCTCTGCCGCGGCGCCTTGTCCTGGTGACAGAAGCCACCGGTGGCTCCGAATGCCAAGTGACGTTCGGAGTTGGTTGGCAGCTCCTGGGTTTTTCTGGAATAGCCAAATGTGGTATCTTAGCAACAAAGGGATTTTTTCTCCTTTTAGATCAGATTTGTTTTTTTAACAGCTTTGATGCTGAACATTGCTCCTACCCGGGCAGAGCCAGGGCATGGGTGTACTGGGGACGTCGCCCTCGCCGGCTCCTGCTCTGCTGCAGCCACGGGGGGTCGGAGCAGATAAAACATTGCTGGGGGAGACTGCTCCAAGGCCACTGCTTTTCTGAGAGGCTTTGAACGTTGTAAAGCGTGCGGGAAAGGAGAAGTTTTCAAGTCCGATGTCAGCTGGTTGCAGGTGAATGAAAGCAAAGCCCTTAACCCAAAGTAGGTCTGGCCCCGTGGGTTGCATCAGCTGCTTTGGTAGTCGTCGATGTGCCATGTCTTGGTGCTCACGGCCGGTGGTACTGGCGATTTGGTACAGTGGGAGCAGCTGGGAGCCTAGGGCTGAGCCCGGGGTCTGCTGTGGGCTGCTCTGGAGGGTCACGCAGCCAGGACAGGGCACAGGGCTCCTGGGGTGCTCCAGGTCCGACCTCCTGCCCCACTGACGGGCTCCTCTGGGTGCTTTCCCCGCAGGGTGCAGGTCGAGTTCTACGTGAATGAAAACACCTTCAAGGAGCGGCTGAAGCTCTTCTTCATCAAAAACCAGCGATCGAGTGAGTGCTCTGTGTGTGGAGCGCAAGCACCTGCCGGGAGAAACCAAACCCTGCCCGAGCTCGAGAGCCGAGCTCTGTCCTCGTGGGACGAGAAGCCATTGCCATCTGCTGGTGGTTGTGTCCCTGTGTGTCCCCAGCGCTGGCTGCCCAGGCCAGGGCTGCTGCTGCCTGTTGGCCTTTCTGTTGGGTGTTGGCCAACTTGGTTTGGGGGGATGCGGTTGCACGGGGAGGAGGGGATGCTGCCTGCCACCTTTGCTTGCTAGGGACAAACACAGCACGAGAACCAGCTGGGTCAAATTGGCCGGGAGCAGGGTGGGTGTCGGGAGCTACCCGGGGGCAGGGGGGGTCAGGGAGAAAACGTCCCTGCCACGGAGCCGGCGATGCTCCCCATGCCCGCAGGGAGGTCATCGGCTGTGGGGACAGCCGAGGCAGGCTGTGAGTTACCTGCTCCTGCTTCAGCCATCTGGATTAGCCTCCACTTGACTAATGGTGTTTTTATTTTCTTTCTCTGAGATGTCGTTAGCTGTCTGGAGGGAGTCTGCTTGTTAATTTATAAATTCACATTTTCTTTTCCTCCCTGCATCCTGTCGTTTCTGGAGTGTAACACAACAGGGTGTCCACGGGGAAGTTTTTAATGAAAATGTGATGAATTTCTCACTTGTAATTTGAGTAATAACCCGATGAACTGGCTGGGGAGGGAGAGTGGATAAAGCAGCAGCTTTTGCTCTCTGTCCCTCCTCCTGCAAGCTGTTTGCAGCGTGGCGAGCGGAGCGGAGCCCTGGCCCTGCCTGTCTGATGCTTTTTAATGGATGCCTGCTAACGAGGGGGATACACTCCAGCAGCTCCCTCGTTTGTCTCTCACATCTGTTGGGGCCAGCAAGGAGCTGACTCATCGTTACTTATTTCTGTATTAGTCTCCTATAGATTTGACACTGGGCAGGACGCGTAGAGCCCCGGGCAAAGCGTGAGCAACGTTTGTGTGCTGCCCTGGGGCTCCCGCAGCTCCCCTGGGGCTCAGTGGGGTCCTGCGGTGCAAGGGGCCCTGCAAACCTTGGGGGAAACTAAAGAGGCTGTGCTGTGGGGTGCCCGGGGTGCCCGGGGCGTGCTGCCTGGCCCACGCCGTGCTCCCCTCTGCCGCAGGCCTGAGGATTCGGCTCTTCAACTTCTCGCTGAAGCTGCTCACCTGCCTCCTGTACATCGTCCGCGTCCTGCTCGACAACCCGGAGGAGGGCATAGGCTGGTGAGTGGCGCTGCCGCCGGGCTCCCCACACCACCCTGTGCAATGGGGAGCGCAGACGCCATGGCAGCTACTCACGGCAGATGTGAAGATGCACGACGGATGGTTTTCTCCCTCCAGCTGTTTGAATTGGTAGTTTAGCCAAGCTTGCTGGTCTGGTGGGCTTTGCTCCCTGCTCAAACCCTGTGGACAGGCGTGTGGGCGTCCGCTGGCCCTGCACGGCACACGGGGGGAAGGTGGTGGAAAAATTCGACGCCACGTTCATTTCCAAATGCTGTCTGGCTCTAACGGTCAGGAGTGCAGCGTGGCCTTTAGACACGGACAGGAGCTCATGATTACAGGGCATCGCCATGCAAGTATTTTCTGAATCCTGATGCCCTTGAAGATAGTTATGCTAAATCCCATTTAAGCATTTGGGAAGGAAATATGTTTTGCCATTTAGATCCCCGAGGTGACAGATGATTACCCAGAGCTTTGCTCTGAGTTTCAGTATAAGCCTATTTTTAATATGTCCTTGCTTTGTTTAGCTCACATACAGTGTGGTTTTTTTTCAAGAGCTAGGAGAATTAGCAATTTGATTTTTTCTTTGTAAAGTTTGCAGACTACCAAGTACGTCTGCATTGTCCAAAAGTGGTTTCAAATATGTAGGAATTAAGTGTGACACAGATGCATACCCTGGAAAGGTTTAGCACAGCTGCCGTTCAGGCAAGCCCACTTTCCTGAAGGTGTGTGGCAAAATAGAGGCTGGCAAGCGGGAACGCATCCCTTGCAGCAAGGAAGGGGGAGAGCTTGGCTTCAGTGCTGCCTGCCTGCCTGGCTGCTCGGGGCCCAGCTAGCCTTGTCTTAGAAGTTGAAGCTCTGCAGCTTTTGCTAATTGTAACCTGGTAATTCCCAGCTGCAGCCCTGTGTTTGAGCACTGTGCACAAGGAGCCCCATGCCCGCGAGTATCAGCATTTCGCAGCATCTCTGGAACGGGCTGAAGTACCTGACGGGTCTTATTCTCCAGTAATAAGATGTTAAAAACTGCCTGGGTGAGATAGGCTCCTGTGGAAAGCCCCAGCTGTAGGGACCAGTGTGCGTTTGGAGCCGTGGGAGTGTTGTCCGGGGGCCTCCCCCAGCATCAGGACAGAGCGGCAAGGGCACCCCATGAGCCTGGGGCATCCACGCCAGCACCCCTTTTCCTTCCTCCCCGCCGCTGACTGCTTTCCCCTGCTTTGTCTTTCTCTTCTCCTAGCTGGGAATGCGAAAAGCAGAATTACACGGCGTTCAACCAGTCCACGAAGATAAACTGGTGAGTCGAGAGTTGCTCCAGTGCTGGGGTCCGGCTCTGCCAGACGCGGGAATGCAGCGATGGACGTGGCTGGTGCTGACAGCTGCCCGTGGCCATTTCTTGGTCACGGGCTGCTCGAGGGATGCGGAGCAGCATCCCAGGACCAAATCAATTGACAAGTGCCTGTGGCTGCACCCTTGGGAATGGCTTATTCCCAGTGCAGAGGCTGCTTGAACAAACTGTGCAGTAGGGAACGCCAGTACCAGTGCTGTGCTGGATCCTGCATCAAGCGATGGCCTCACATTTACGTTCGGTGGGGGGTAAGGGCACTGCTGGTTGGGCTACAGTTCAGACCCATTTTGAATTTTCTTTGCAGGTCACACATCTTCTGGGTGGATAGAAAAATGCCGCTGTGGGCTGTGCAGGTGAGTGCCCAGACCTCGGGCATGGTCCTGCACGAGCACAGCAGGAGCTGGGGTTTGAGCTCCGCCGCCAGCAGGTCTCTGCGCATCCTCTGCCCGCAACAGTGAGGGGCAACGGGTTCTCTTGGGTGAGCAGAAAATGAGCTGGGGCTTCTGCTGGGAGCAACAACATGGCCCTGGGTGAAAATCCCAGGGACCCATAGGAGAGGAAAAGCTGTAGGAAGATAAAATCATGAGGCTGGCTCAGCTCCTTCCCAGCCTGGATGCAGCTGTACCAGTAACGGGCTATTTTCAGGCCAGGCAGCTGCCTGGGGAATCGCTTGCAGGAGGGTTGAGCGCCCGTCGGCTTCTGCTCAGGGCTGCCTGCATGCCTGTTGCTCGTGCATGGCAGACATTCACACAAACGGGCGCAGAGAAATCAAACGAACGGGCCCACGTCTGCGATACCCACGGGCTCCTCATCGCACAGAGCAGGGAGGGCTCGGCAGAGGCGCTCGCAGCCTCTGACTGACTGACGATGCATCGCATGAGCCCTCAGCAGCCTTTGCCTGTCTGTCTCTGCAGGTCAGCATAGCTTTGATCAGCTTTCTGGAGACCATGCTGCTCATCTATCTCAGCTACAAGGTAAGTGTCCCGGGGCGGGCGGCGGACTGTGATGCGCAGTTTGGGTCTGACCCCCCCGGCGTGAATTCATTTCTCGGTCTTTGAGCTGTCTGAAGCCTGAAGCATCCTGAAAGGACGTGTGCCTCGGCGACGTCTCAGCTGGCTGTGGCTGTTTTCATTTCTCGTTCCCCCTCGGGCTGCTGGATAAGTGTTTGGCAGAGCAGAGCTGGGGGATCTCTTCTTTTTCCACCTTCCTTTAAATTCAGACCTGTTTTACAAAGGGTCGCTGCTTTTTTGGGGGGCCGGATTGACGCACGCTGAGTTTCCTAAGGTTGAGGACCTGGAGCTGAGCTCGGCAGCATGACCCCTGCTTGTGCCGAGGTCTGCTGCCTCCGGAGGTAGCAGGCACTGCTCCAAGCCAGACAGGGAGAGGCACAGGCTGACTCCTTTGGATCAAAGCCCCTTAAAACGGCCAAGAAAAGTGACCTTAACAAATGGCATCTTCTCGGGGTCCCTGGGACAGTTGGCAGAAAAGACTCAGACCTTGTGTCACCCGCCTGGTTTGAGTACCAGCGATCTGTATCAGTCACTCCCATTCTCCGTCCTTGCACGAGGCGTCGTTGTTGTCCCCTGGCGCTGGGCAGCAGCAGTGACGGACAGAGGGACGTCGTGGCCGTGGAAAGGACTGAACGGTTTGGGAAGGTGTGACTGACTCCGGCGTGTCTGCCACCAGCACTGCATCTCTTTCCTGCAGGCAAACCGGAGCATCTTTCTGGCTGCTCTGGCGTACTTCCCCCATTTAGCAGGGTCTGTGGCAGAGTGGGAGCTTTTTAATTGTCATTTGGCAGATTTTTAATCTTATCTAATTATTATTTGTTTTTAATTCCTCAGGGGAACATCTGGGAACAGATTTTTCGCATTTCATTCATCCTTGAGATGATCAACACGGTGCCATTTATTATCACGGTGAGTGTTTCCTGGTGACATTTTAAAGCGGCTTTAAGTTTAATAAGTACTGTAGTTTTGGTGGTAAAATAAAGAAAAATGGATGTCTGGCCAAGTGGTATTTAAAGCTGGCAGGCAATTTTTTTCTTCAATATTTTTCAACATAATGACTTTCTCTGGAGCGTTATTCCAAAAAAACATCCTCTGTTTTCAGCTGCCCCACTGCAGCCGGGGGAGCGGGGCCGCTTTCGGTGGCAGCCTCTGCAGAGGCCGGTGCTTAGTTTGGAGATGGATCCTTCCCGACAGGGTTCAAATTGGCTGTTTATAGCTTTTTCTGATAGGCAACATGGATTTTTCTGCGAGTAACTCTTGCTTTCATAGATATTCTGGCCTCCTTTGCGGAATTTGTTCATTCCTGTGTTTCTGAACTGCTGGCTTGCCAAGTACGCCCTGGAGAACATGATTGTGAGTGACTGGACGCATCCCACCCCTTTCGCCCTGGGTCCCTCTGCCCTGGGGATGCCAAAGGCGGCGTGGCCGGGAGGGGGGCCCTCGCCTGCCGCCGGCTCTCAGGCAGGTTTTGGTGCTCAGTGCGTGCAGCCGTGCCGGGGTTGGTGGGAGGTGAGGCTTTGCCAGCTGGTGATGCTGGTCTGTGGACCTGACGGGAGCCCTTCAGCGTCTGAGCCACGTTGACTCTGTTGGCTGTGTATTGACAGGGACGGCCCCCGGCTGTCCCCGGGATACGGTATTTCAGCAGGACGAGATATTCCAGCCATTCCGACGTGCCCACTCGAGCTGTCTCTCCCGGCAGCAGAGCCCAGACCTGCTCACAGAAACGCACATCCCTTTTCAAGGGCCAAATTCTGGCTTGACCTCCGTCTGCGGGGGCATTGCTGGGGCCAGCAAGACAGCAGCTGGTACTTGGAGGAGTACTTTACCTTCAGCCTCCCCGAGTTGGTGAGCCCTCTCCTCTCTTCCCAGAACGACCTGCACCGAGCCATACAAAGGACCCAGTCTGCGATGTTTAACCAGGTGCTCATTCTGATCTGCACCCTCCTGTGTCTCGTTTTCACGGGGTGAGTGTTGCTTTTCGTTTCACTAAGCCGCCTTCTTCATCCAGGGAAATCAGCTTTGCACGTCCCAGGGGTGACTGGCGGAGCCGGGCTCTCGCAGCGCTTACAGCTGGGGGGGGTGGGGTGGGACCTTCCCAGCTGCGGTGGGATGGCACTGCCAGGACGTAACGTGGTGACTGGGGAAGCCGGAGGAGGTTCTGCCTTTAAGTGGTGTCTTCTAGCTTGATTTTTCAGCCTGAGAGGTTTGTGCACACTGAAGAAAGCATAACTGTTCAGGGCTGCTGATCAAATTGAACTCCCAAGTCTTTGGCATCCTTTCTTTGCTAATGGGACAAGTCTCAGTTCCTCGGGCTGAGTTTTGGAATCGGGGGAGCCATGGCGAGGAGCGTGCCCCAGGTTTCCACGCGTGTCCATGGGCTTTGGCTTGGGCACAGCCACGTCTGCTGGAGCTTTGGGAGGACCCCCTGCACCATCAGCCCCCCGGCGCCGGGCTCTGCCCTGCCTTGCTTCATTCCCCAGCGCACTGAGCACTGGGAAGATCAATTCCTATTTTAGAAACTAATTATCCTCCCTAATTATATGGTTTTAACAGAAACTTTTTAACGGGCGCGTGTGAGGATGAGGGCATTGTCGGAGGGAGATGGGTGATGCGGACACACGAGTCTCAGAGCAGGGCTGTGAGTGCTGCAGGATCAAGGGCAGGGACAGCAGCTTCCCACAGGGACACGGGCTCGGACATGTGTGACGGCTCATTCACTCGCTGGCTCCGACCGTGCTCTTCCTCCCCACCAAGTTACCATGGCTGCTGAGCTCGTTTGTGTAATAGGCCACTGGGGCTCCTGCTAATTAACTGGGCCCTTTACCCCACGTATTGCCAATGACAAGGGCATCTCTATAAAGGAGTCAGTTCTCATCGCTGGGTATTTAGCGCCGAATTAGGCTTCTTGAATTTTCCTCTGGCTCCCTCGGTCTGGATTTGAAGCATATAATACCAATTAAGTTGCTGAAGGGACAGGAAATGAAGCTTTTAGGCTCATGAGTCTTTGGCAATAAAGATGATCCTCTGATGTGAATGACTAATGCAATTTCGGAGCCATCAGTGCTCCCTGCCCGTGGCACCTCCTGCCCACTGGGGCCATGGACGTGTTTCTTGGTGGATGCGGCAGGGCTATAATTCGGGTCCAGGACAACTTAGGTAACACGTGTTTAGCAAGATGACTTTGAAACTGCAGTTTCGCTGCCTGCCTAACCGCGGGGAGCGAGGCGGCTCTGCAGCGCGGCTTTGCAAGGGCAGCAGCACAGGGCCGGGAGTGGGTGACAGGATCTGGCTCCTGCCTGCCGGAGCGCATCCCCCCTGTGAGTGAGAGCCCTTCCCGTGGGCTGAGTCCCCCCAGAGCCTTACTGGGACAGCTGCTTGCTTCCACATTTTGTTTTTTGCAACGCAAGGGCAGCCCCCAGGTGAAGTTCGACATGCCGTCCATGGCATGGTCTTACGGTGACCCATCACCCGGGACCTAGACTTCCACATGCTGCTTTGGTGAGCAACCACATCAAACTAACTCCTTCATCTGTAAGCACCATCAGCCGAATCATTTCTGTTGGTGACATAAATCCACTGCTGATGCTGACAGCGTATTACAGACAAATTTCCTCCATGGACATAGGTGTAAGTCACCTTCTAGCGTTCCCCACTGACTTCAGCAGGAGCTACGGGCACTGCCTGTCTCCCAGGCAGGCAAGCGCTTGCTGTGATGTGTGCTTTCTCCCTTCAGGACCTGTGGCATCCAGCATTTAGAAAGAGCAGGTGAGAAGCTCTCCCTCTTCAAGTCCTTCTATTTCTGCATCGTCACCTTTTCCACCGTGGGCTATGGAGACGTAACACCAAAGATCTGGCCTTCCCAGCTCCTCCGGAGATGTGACACCAAAGATCTGGCCTTCCCAGCTCCTCGTCGTGATAATGATTTGCGTCGCCCTGGTTGTGCTGCCGCTCCAGGTTAGACCCATATGGCCAAGGATGGAGAGGGATGCAGAGCCTGCACCCGGGCAGCCCTGCCGATGGGGGCGTCTGCTCTCTGCCTTCATTTGCAGTTCGAGGAGCTCGTCTACCTGTGGATGGAGCGGCAGAAGTCGGGAGGCAATTACAGCCGCCACCGTGCCCAGACGGAGAAACACGTCGTCCTTTGTGTCAGCTCCCTCAAGATTGATCTCCTCATGGACTTTCTCAATGAGTTTTACGCCCACCCGCGCCTGCAGGTGAGGACCAGGCATGTTCTCATGTGCTTGGTCAAGGCTTGCCCTTGCCGGGGTCGCAGCCTTGCTGGGCACGGCCGGGTTGCTGCTGGTGGTGAGTGCCCTGCCCAGCTACAGTGGCTGTAGCCAAGAATAAGGTAAAAAACCATCCAGCCCAGCACCAGAAAGCACGTGCTCCACTGGCCAAGGAGAGGTGACAAGTGGTACCCTGCCGCCACCTCACTTTGCCATCTCAGCTGTGGGTCTCTCTCTGCCTGATCCACCCCGTTTTCTGGCCAGGCCTGTTACAGCACTGCGTAAGCACATGGAGAGGGACCAGAGGGGCTTTTCTAGATTTGAGGCTGTCTTTACTGAATGAAGAATCTCAGGCAGAAACAGAACATGTAATTGCTAAACCTCAGTGGGATTTACCCAGCTCTAACTGGAGTATCCCCACATAGTCAGTGATCTTCAAGCAAATGACTGTGCCTTTCCATCTCCCCAGGACGAGAGCATCATGGACATGTTTCAGATTTGCGTTTCATTCCAACGCTCACATGCGCTTCATTACCATCGCCCAGCCTTGATTCCACACATTCAAGCTTTAAAATCCTGCTTGTTTCTGTAACTGCAAGAGGCTCCACTTTGCTGTGGGTGTGCAGATGTACCTGTACTGGCTTTGTTATGCAGAACGGAGTGGTGAAGCTGCTGACGTGTTTTCCAAGACCCTTGCAGGGCCCTAGAGCAGGGGCAGGGGGTGTCACACATGGGAACAACTATCAGAAGCCCCAGGGGAGCTGTTCGTTCATGCAGCAAAACCCTGTTTCTCAGCTCGCTGCGGCAGGCGTGGGCGGGGCCGCCGCGACCCATGCGAGCCTCTCTCTTTCAGGATTACTACGTGGTGATACTTTGCCCAACAGAGATGGATATCCAGGTGCGGCGGGTCCTGCAGATCCCTCTGTGGTCGCAGCGAGTGATCTACCTCCAGGGCTCTGCGCTGAAGGACCAGGACCTCATGAGAGCCAAGTGAGCAGAGGGACATGCTGCACATCCACGGCGAGGCCGGTCCTGCCACGCTGCTGAGCTGCCCGCAGGCCTTGGAGCCGCAGAGGAGGGTCCCCAGTAATGTCAGCCCAGATGCATGATGATGGGCGTCCCTGCGTGCCTTCGCTGGGGTCTTGGAGAGGGCTGGTAGCGCCCTGGCTGGTACGGGCAGATGCCTGGCTTTGCTGGCCCATGCAATTCATGGGGTCGCTGCTCTCTGTTTGCAGGATGGACAACGGAGAAGCCTGCTTCATTCTCAGCAGCCGAAACGAGGTGGACCGCACCGCGGCGGTAAGCCAGGCCTGAGGGATGGCACGGTCGGGGATTATTAATTTCTCAGGCCAGAAGGAACTGGGGTGATCGCTGCATCTTGCCTCTGCACGGCACAGGAGCATGCCGGGAGGCAGCCGGGGTGTAAGCATGGGGTTCGGGTGCTGAGCTCTGTCCCCTGGGCACCCACACAAACTGTGCACCCCACATGTCCTGGGGCAGCTCACCCCAAAAACCTCCTCACCTAGTGCAACCTTACCCCAGCCTGGGCAGAGACTTCGCTGGGAAGATCTTAGTTTTGGAGCCATGGACTAGGGAGGAGGTGGCAGCAGTGAACAGCTTTTGCTGCCGGCCGGTGCCAGGGACGCTGCCCGTGCTGTGGCGGTGGCTCCTGTCTGCCCGTGCCGTCCTGAGCCGTGCGGCCCCACTGGAGGGGTCTTTTCTGCAGGTGCTAACATGCGGAGCAGAGGGTGCTGCGCTCCCTCCCCGCTGCCGAGGCGCTGCCTGGCCCTTCCCTCCTTTGGCACTTGGCACTCCTGCTTGTGACGAAGCTGCCGAAGGGTCCACGTGGGCAGGCAGTGACCACAGAGAAACACAGAGGTGGCATGGGGACGGCACGGGGACACGCGACAGCACGCCGCCGGCTGAGCCCCTGCGGGCTCACCTTCCCTCTGCTGTCCTAGTTTCCCATCAGTGCTGGGTTTTGGGGAGCAGGGGAGGGACGTTATCCCCCATTAGCAGTGGGTGTTGGAGGACCCCTTGCTGTACGTCTCCACAGTGACTGGGTGCTTTGCGGTTCATCCCGGGTATAGAAGCGTTGGGGAAAATAAGCCATCGGACAAGTACCTCTTGCTCTTCTTCTCGGCTAGGACCACCAGACCATCCTGAGAGCCTGGGCTGTGAAAGATTTTGCTCCAAACTGTCCTCTCTACGTTCAGATCTTAAAGCCTGAAAACAAGTTTCACGTCAAGTTTGCCGGTGAGTCGGAGGGGCTGCATGGCAGTGGGCAGCACTGCTCGCTTCGCTGGTCTGGACCGTCTTAACCTGCCATCACGGATGTTTCCAGCGGTGTTTCCATCTCGGAGGAGTCCATGACCTGGTGCTGAGACTCCTCCCCATTGCTGGAAGATATTTTAGGGCCACCAGCCCCTTTACCATGATGCACACTAAAGCCTGCAGCAACGCACCTGGGGCTGGGGGGGAGCTGGCTCCGGGCTGCCCCGGGGTGGGCTGTGTGCGGGCACACCAGTCCCGTGTGTGCCTCCGTGTGCGTCCCCATGCACACGGCGGCGGTGGCCTCAGTGGGCTGGTGTCCACCTGGCTGGTTTCCAGCCTGCATCACTGTTTTCCTGCCTGCATTAATCCCATTCGTGGTGTTCCCCGTGGGCTGTTGATCAGCTGAAAGCCCTCCCGGACTGGCAGGAGGAGGAAGCACCCAGCCCCCAGCACCACCCCAAAATTACCGCATCCCTGCGCGCCGCTGGCCGAGGAACCCGGCCGTCCCCCTTCCCGCCGTGACAGTCCCCTCTGCCTTTCAGATCACGTCGTCTGCGAAGAGGAGTGCAAATACGCCATGTTGGCGCTGAACTGCGTCTGCCCCGCCACCTCCACCCTCATCACGCTGCTGGTGCACACCTCCCGCGGCCAGTGAGTGCTGCCCGCCCGCTGCCCTGCCTGCCCCTGCCTGCCCCTGC